TTACGTGTACACATCCCTATGGTAGTTCCTGGCACCATCTTGGAAATGTTCATTGCTCTCAGAATCGCCGAGTGGCTCGGTTGCGATCCCTCATCAGCAGTGGAAAATTGGGTAGATGCTCTCCTGGCCTCGCGTGATAGTGCGAGGATGACCGATAGGGAAATACTCAGCGCTATTATGGAGAAGATGAAGTAGGGGTCTCAACCGGACCTATTTTGTATCTTACCATCTTCGACCTTAGATTCCTCCCTCAACAGTGTCTCGCAGCCTCAGTTGGTGCGTCCTCGGCAGATCCCCTGAGGTCGTCATCGACCACCCTAGCCGCCATGGCGCGTATATGCGTCCGCTATAATAGGCAGGCAGTAGCCTCTCAACTCCTCCTCTCACTGGATGGTCGGAGTCAACAGCAACCCGAAGGGGCAGCTGAGGCGACTACTGGCGGAGTCACCGCCGGTGGCGAGCAGGTTGTGGGGCTCCTCTTGTCTCTTGGGAGTGTGTCCATGGCCCTGCGTAAAGCTGTGGATGCGGGGAGCCCAGATTCCATTCAAAGATGCATCAGTGCTGTCATCTACAGTGCGGCTGATGTGGAGGATGCGGCAAATGATCTTATACGTGTATGCAAAGAAGGCGACCTGACCTCAGCTGGGAGGGACTTGGTGGCCTCTCTCGTGTTGAATCGTTGGCGACAGGATGGAGGTGGGAGTAGAATCATTGGTGAGGACGTTGGCGTTAAGATGGTCTTGAGGGCTCTTCATGGGGCCTCTGCGGTGGCGCAGCATTCGGTCATGGTGGCTCTGCGGACGGCGATTACCGCGCCAGTTGCGCAAGCGGGAAAGGACGAGGCGAGTAGCAGTGGTGACCGGTGGTGGTCTCGACTGGGGAGGTCTGATCCCGCTGAGTCTAGAGTGCTCATACGAAGCGATGCTGCGGACATGTTCCGGAACGCTGGTGGGGAGTTTTCGGGAGTTTACGGTACGACCAGAGAGCCTAGTGCTCAGTTGTCCGCGGTGGTGTTGCAGGAGGAAAGCGACTTGTGTCGGTCGCAAGCTCAGCTGGAGAGGCTATCAGCAATGCGGGGATGGACCCGCGGCGGTGAGAATAAGTTTGTAGGGACTTCACTGTGGCAGACGGTGAGGCGGTTGGTGGTGATAGGAGAGGTTGAGGAAGCTCGGAAGCTGCTGACCAAGTTGAAGGTCTTGCCGGAGTATGAGCGGCGGTGGTGGAAAGTGGCGGTCGATGCTTTGGTCGAGGCTGGACGCTTCTCGGAGTTGGCTCAGATGGCGGGGAGCTCCGCCTCGGGAGGGCCTCCGATAGGGTAGGCGGGGATTTGATATGGAGGTGCGGTATTTTGTTAATCGATGGGCGCAGGTTCGAACCCATCGTGGCGCTTCTTTTGGAAAACCAACAGTTTGATCTCGCCAAGGGTTTGATAGGGAGGTGTAAAGACATGGAACAAGTCGCCAGCTTTTACGAGACGCTCGGCATGCGGGAGGAGGTGAGAGAATTCTTAGCGGAGCGAAGCTCATTGATGATGATTTTCCCTCAGGCGATGAAGGCTCAGCAGTTGGCAGAGCAGCAGCGTCGGTCCATCGGTGGGAGCGGATCCATTCTAACTGGGTGGTCCTCTACCATCGCCGGTGCAGTGATGAGAGGAGGCTTCACTCGATCCTGAAATGCACGTTACCATTGCCGTTAGAATCATCTTATGTTGAGTTGTTAGAGGAAAGTCTGTGAATGATCAACCACTCATCATGAGTCGTCTCTTGAGACTATATGAGCCTACATGCCTGACGGAGTAGTTGTTGCTGCTGCTGATACCCCGTTGCGAGTTTGCGGGCAGTGTACTACACTGAGCGTAGGCGTTGCACTGCTTATTGACACACAACTGTATAAGCATGTCGAGGCAGGTCCAGTAGGTCATCATCAGTGTAGCAAAGGCGTCTTGATCATTGGAGGGGAAGGTCTTGAGCCGTGTTCGTATTGTATATGTGTACCGGAGTATTGGACAGTCAATTGCGTTCACATGAGGGTCTGTTGTGGAGGGTTACCACTTGTGATGATGATGGGATGATAATATATTGGTGA